AAATAAATAAATAAATATAAAAAGCAGTTGCCACCAGGTTGGGAGTTGATATGGATGCAGGATCCATGGACAGGCGTATGGGAATGACTCAGAGTGCCCAGAGAGGAGGCATATTACCAGAGACGGAGAGAAATACCACCAAACCCTCTCACTAGGGCGAGGTGGAGGCCATAGAGTGGAGGAGGAGGCTGAGAGAATAGAAGGACAAGGTAGAAAGAGAGAGGCGTGAAAGACTTGAATGGAGGGTGAGGGAAATAAAGATGAGGGGGTACCAGGAGGATCATGGCAGACCTTCACCTGCACCCAGGACCCCATCTGGTTGGTCAACCGAGACAATGAAACGGTCCCCTTACTGGAGGCAGAGACAGGACCGGTACTAAACATAGATCTGTTTCTAGACTGGCCCGAACTCTGGAGCCCTGAAGGAGGAAATCCTTTCCAAGCTGAAGATTGGAAACTCCTTCCATCTGTTGTTGGAAGGAGACAAATGTTGGACTGCTTTTGCAGACCCTGGTTATTTGTTAAAATCGCCAATAAATGTTACCCTTGTTTTGAAACCTCGCAAATCTGCTGATTTATTCAAACAAATACAGGAGCCCAAGACTGAACACTCAGAGCTGTTCCTCCTGTAATACAAAGTACTTTGGGGTGACTTGTGCTGCAAAATTATGAATTTCTAGTAGAATCGTCTGTTTTGTACAAGGTAGAAGTACAGAGACCCATGGAGGAGAATAGTGATAAGTTCCCCAGAATCTGCCTGTTTTTCATTAACTGGCACTGAAAGTCTCAATAACTTACTCTGAGACATTTGTAGGAGAAAGAATAAAATACGTTTCTTAGACTTGTGTGTACTGCTTTTTTTTTTACTGTACACATGCTTGGCAACTAACCGGACTCATCAACAGCAAACAAAACAATAGCCATCAACAAACTAGAGAGATGGGAAAAGCACTCAGCAGGGAAGCAGTGCTCTCTATGAATTCAAAGGCTGGAAGGAACTATTGATTAGTGCTGGATAAACAGACAATAACCCCAGCCTAGAAATGTCCCTCCCAGTCACACAAACTACAGATAGCAGATAAGGTAGCAAACAAAACCCCAACCACTTGGTCCTGCGCAAGTAATTAAAACCCATTACCATTGCAGAAGACTCGCTCCTGGTGGAGATGAAAACTGCAAAAAACTGCTTGTTAATATAGATTGAGGGTAGGTGCCTGCAATTTCTTTCTGAACTTTCTATGGCTCTGGGTCTCTCCTGATGAACATCTGAGTATCAACATGGTTTACTACACTGCTGCAGAAAATCATCCAGAGCTGTAGGCAAACAGATGTAGATCCAACAGTTCGTTTTCTAGTTACAGTCAACCCTCGACTTACGAATGTCCCTACATATAAACTTTTCGATTTACGAATTGCTCTGTTTGCAAAAATTGGCATCGACTTGTGAACAGAGCCTCGACCTACGAGCGAGGTTGAGTCTCCATTCGCACGTCAATGCCATTTTTTGTGAACGGAGCGACTGGCGCCTTCGGAGGTCTCAAAGGGCTTTCCCCCTGACATCGGAGGAAGCCCTTTGAGACCTCCGAAGGCAAAACGGCAGGGAGAAAGGGCTGGAAATTCAAATTTCCCGTCCTTTCCCCCTGCCTTTTTGTCTTCGGAGGTCTCAAACAGCTTCCTCTGATGTTGGTGGGAAAGCCCTTTGAGACCTCCAAAGGTAATTTTTTGAAATGTTGGAATGGATTAATTCCGTTCAAATGCATTTCAATGGAAAATGGTACTTCGACTTACAAACTTTTTGACATACAAACGCCGTTCCAAAATGGATGAAGTTCATAAGTCGAGGTACTACTGTAGTGATAATAACTGCCCTGTTCCTCTCCACTTCAGTATCACAGATATACAGCATAATAGAAACATCACACTGAAACTTTTATAGTATGTAAATTAAGAATGCCAAATCTTTTCATCATCCAGAGACGTTCCAGAAACCCAAACTTTATCTAAAATGAACTAGCCACTAAGCGAATCAACAATACAGGTTGGAGATTAGTTCTGCCTACCAAAGCGCCGCTCCAGATGGGAGACGCAATGCGAACACTCCATCCGACAAACCAAGGCTTATAGGAAAAAACAGGAAAGAAGGCAATTATTCCAGAGATGAGACTTAAAACCCCAAAGGAAATAAGTATTCTTCCAGTGATTGCGAACAGGTTCATTTTGAGTCTCTCCTCATCTCTCTGTGTTTGACTTGTGCTAATGTTTTGCCGTAAAAGCCAGGGTGACACATACCATGACACACACACAGAAGCGTCTTGGAGACAGTAGTCAAGGTTCTTTCTTGTTACTTTCCTTCTCAGATGAAACACAGTTTAGCTTGGAGCACTGCTGCATCAGAGTGCAGGGCAGTGAAAAGGAGTCAATGTGAAGTTCTACCACGTTGCAAGAAGAATCACACAACCCCCTCCTCTCCTGATACCAAAAGCTC